TCTCTTTGGTTTTGAGACTTTAGTCTTTGCAACTTCAGGGATCTTATCTATGCACAATCAGCTTGTAACACTCCAAAGAGAAAGGAAAACTTGAAATCGCATCATATGACCCCTTTAAAACATCTAACCAAATAACAGTGTGGACAGTCAGTATTTTAAAGATTGTATTCTGATTGTCCACAATATGATCACGAGAGTGCCACTTTCAAAAATAAAACTGTCAAAAGACTGCACTCAAGGTTTGACTATTGTGTTTTTCTCTTTCTGTAGATCCTCATTTGGAATCTTGAGATTGGAGAGCCAGTGAAAATGATTGACTGTCACACCGATGTGATCCTCTGTATGTCATTTAACACAGAGGGCAGCCTGCTGGCCACCAGCTGCAAGGACAAGAAGCTCCGCGTCATCGAGCCCCGCTCTGGCAAAGTGCTACAGGTGTGGATTGTGTGCATTTAGTCTTACAGTACATGCACTCGAGCAATCATTGATGCAGAAACACTCATTACAGATTTCAGTCATGTTCCTTCTTAAAACTTGAATTGACACTTGGTTTAAAACATGTACTGTATTTCTACACTTCTATTCAAAAGTTTGGTGTCAGTCAGATTGTTTTTTTGAGAAATTAATCAGAACTTAATACTTTTAATCAGCAGGGATACAAATAATTGATCAAAAGTGATAGTAAAGATTTATAGTGTTACAAAATTTTCAGTTTTAAATAAATGTTGTTTATTTTGAACTTTTTATTCATCAATGAAACTTGAAAAAAATATTCAGCGCAACATCTATAATAATACGAAATGTTTCTTGAGAACCAAATGAGCATATTAGAATGATTTCTGGAATAATGACTGCTGAAAAATCAGCATTACCATCACCAGAATAAATTAAATTTTAAAATATATTAAAGCAGAAAACAGTTTTTTATATACTTTACAATAGTACTGTTTTACTTTTACTGTTATTTTGTATTTTTAAAGTAAATAAATGCAGCCTCTGTGAGCATAAGAGACTTCTTTTTTTTTTTTTTAAATGATCGACTCCAAAATATTTGAAAGGTATTGCTTTTTTATTTATAAAAATATTTCATTAACAAATAAACCATACACAGAGAATAAAACACTCTTTCATTTATATAATAATCATAATTTTTCATGCATGATTTTGTAAATGCACTATTGAGTAAAATTTCACCTTTATTTTTGTTTTATATTGTCAAGCAGGAGGCGAACTTTAAAAACCACAAAGTGAACCGTGTTGTGTTCCTAGGCAACATGAAACGACTCCTAACGACAGGTGTGTCTCGCTGGAACACACGCCAGATTGCTCTCTGGGACCAGGTGAGAAGAACCTGTGTATGTGTGTGGGTCAGCTTTTGACCTGATCAAATATCCCCACAAGGGTAGTTAAACCTGAAATCACTTACATTCTGTAAGGAAAACAAATGAATAAACACAAAATATTGTCTTCATTAAAATGTAAATGCTAAAATGTGTCTGCGAGGGTCAGGGCTAGGGGTTTGTGTAGTTTTAGGGGTTAAAATATGTCATTAGTTCAGTATAAAGACAAAGTCAATGGAAAGACTTCACCATGACAGATAAACAAATGTATGTGTGTTTTTGTGTGATTAATTCCCAAAACTCATCCAGAAATACACATTGTCCCTGATGTCTGCATTACCCTAAAGATTACCGTGCTGAAAGTCATTGTTTTCTTCTCAGCATCTTCCCTGTAATTATTGTGTGATAATCACATTCATTGTTCTTTGTAAGTGTAGCTAAACAGCTACACTCAACTGCAGTAATGAGAGAATGTGGGTAAAGAAGCTGGTTGCGTTGCTCTTAGTACATTGTCAGGGTTCTGAGAAAGCCCTGTGTCGCAAAAATATTTTTGTAAAATGGGAAAATTGCTCTCAAAAGTTATTTGCTCTCATACCACACTGTCTCTCTTGACAGGAGGATCTGTCCATGCCAATCATTGAGGAGGAGATTGACGGCCTATCAGGACTGCTTTTCCCTTTCTATGATGCAGACACACATATGCTCTACTTAGCAGGCAAGGTACATATTCTCAATACTGTTAAGGATTCTTACATGCTTGTAATGCTTGCACTGTAAATGTGCAAGACGTTCAAAAGTTTAGGGTCAGTAAGGTTTTTTTTAACAACTTAAGAAATGTTTCTTGAGCATCAGTTCAACATATGTGACCCTGGACCACAAACCAGTCTTAAAGGTACAATATGTAATTTTCGCCGCTGGAGGGCGCGTATTCAAAATAAACAAAGAGGCAAAGGCGTAGTTTGATTACGACGTGACTGAGGGTGGAATCATGGTCCGGTCGTGCGTATGTGGGGTAAAGCAGCGCTGTTTTATCAGATACATTTGAAAGTTCAGTTATAATGCTACTCTGTGCGGTCGTCACCGGTCTATTAAAACGCACAACATATTAAAGCGTCTTTGGTGAAATCGAGGGGTTATGACGTCATTGGCAGGCGACACAATGACACTATGAACACGCTCCGTGTCACTAGTTAAAATTACTTATTTCTCTGGATTTAAACATTCTTCGAAACATTTGGGATAATGTAAGTACACAAATCAGCAAAATATATAACACTGTTCTAGTGGTTTTTGGATATTTTAATAAAAAAAATCTTACATATTGTGCCTTTAAGTAGCAAGGGTACATTTGAAGCAATATCCAAATATCCATTGTATGGGTCAAAATTATTGATTTTTCTTTTGTGCCAAAAATCATTAGGATATTAAGTAAAGATTGTGTTGCAAGAAGATATTTTGTAAATTTCTAACCGTAAATATATCAAAACGTAATTTTTGATTAGTAATATGCATTGCTAAGGACTTCATTTGGACAACTTTAAAGGCGATTTTCTCAATATTTTGATATTTTGCACCCTCAGATTCCAGATTTCTCTCGGTCAAATATTGTTCTATCCTAACAATCCTATACATAAATGGAAAGCTTATTTATTCAGCTTTCAGATGATGTATATATCTCAATTTAAAAAGATTGACCCTTATGACTGGTTTTGTGGTCCAGGGTCACTTATTAGAATGATGTCTGAAGCATCAAGTGACACTGAAGACTGGAGTAATGGCTGCTGAAAATTGCAGAAAAAAAACTTTTGAAAATATATTCAAATAGAGTTTTATCGTGATGGTTTAAATTGTAATAATATTTCACAGTATTACATTTGATCGTATTTTAAGCCTTGGTGACTGGTGAGCATAAGAGACATCTTTCAAAAGCATTAAAACATTCAAAAAAATCCCAATCTCAAACTGCTGAATGGTATATTTAGGCATATATTAGATATATCAATATTTTGTTTCAGTTATATAATGAAAAGACATATTGATGCACCAGTAGGGCATTATACGTTGATATAGCAGTTGCTTGAATTGCCATCACAAATGATCACCTTAGAAAAAACTGTAATTGTCTTTGAACTGACTAAAAAGACGGTGTAATTGCAGGGTGATGGGAACATCCGGTACTATGAGATCACCCTGGAGAAACCCTATCTGCAGTATCTCATGGAGTTCAGGTCCCCTGCACCACAGAAAGGGCTCGGTAAAGCTGAATCCACAGCCTTCGATGATCACACTACACCAGCAACGTCTGTAAAATGGTGTAGGAAACTTTCCAAATTAACCCTAGAATGCAAAAAAACCCAAAACAGAAACCAAAACAATCTACGCAAATTGATAAAGGGGATCAAAATGGCCCATATTGGATTCAGTGGTTCTCTTCATAGAAAGCATCCTTGTTTTTTTTCATTTTCAGTGCAAGGAAATAATTTTTTGATAATGTTCATTTGTTCACTTTGGCAGCATTCAAAATGTTATTTCTGAATCTTTGATCAAAATATGTAAATGATAATAGTCTCATGAGGAATATAAGGAATATCACAGAATCCCATTATTTTAATTAACAAAATTTTACTCTCTTTATGCAGTCTAGGGTTAAACCTGGAATTTTGTATGTATAACCTTAGCACTTTTATTTTCTCAGTAGGTTCTCTCTCTTAATAAATCAACTATGTGTTGTGTTATGGTCTCTTCAATATCAAGATAAAACCATGAGTAAGCATGCCAATTACCAGTGCCAACTTCTCATACGTTCCTCTCTCATGTGTGTACTCTGATAGGAGTGATGCCAAAGCATGGGCTGGATGTAGGAGCGTGTGAAGTCTTCAGGTTTTATAAATTGGTGACTCTAAAGGGCCTGATTGAGCCAATCTCTATGATTGTACCTAGAAGGGTGAGCATAAGCACCATAAAGCTATTAGTTCACAGTCCGCGGTTCCCAGTTAAATGGATCATTGAGAGTTACACTGAAGGATGAGAGAAATTTGTGGTAGACATACCCCTTGTGTGAGGTCTATAGTTGAGTATCCTGCCAAAATGTCTCTTTTTAAGCAAGCAGTCTGACAGGATGGAGGAATCCATCACCTCTCTGTTGCTGGTATGATGAGAGTAGTGAGCCATGTAATAACCTCCATGTGAGACACAGCATGTCCGTTTTGTGCTCTGTAGAGAATGGACAGTAGCAGGGTTGGCCCTTTATCGGAGGGCTTTAAAAACAGTGGGAGGGACAGCCTCCTATCAACACCACAATTTTAAAACACACCCCAATAAATCCAGTGGCAGTTCTGTTTCAGTGCAAACGGTCCTGATACCCATCAATCCATATCTATCATTCATGATAGAGGGCGAATCAGCCAACCTTTTAACCCAGGGGTTTTAAAATCAGGATGCAACAAGAGGGTGTTACACAAATTTGGGAAGAAAAAAATACATTTACAGTTGTGTTTATCAGAATGAATATAGTTATGCATATTATATGCACATTTATTCTTGCAACATACATATGTTCAAGAATTGTTTTTATTTGTGTTATATCTGATTTCTTTTTTTTAACACTGTTGCCTTTAACTTGCCATTTTTATGGAACTATTTTTTGTAAAGCTGCTTTGAAATTATATTTATTATGCAAAGTGTTATACAAATAAATGTAAATAAAAATGTTTCTAGTATTTGGTGGAAAAAAATACACAGTGAAGGTTGTAATATTGTAATATTTAAATATGAATTAAAAACACTTTTTTAATTTTAGTAAAATGACAAAGCAACTATATAATTAATATTACTATAATTTAATTTGGGAAACAACAGATACTACCTGAATACCTGGGATTATTTTCACTCAGATACTGAGTTACTTTTTCATCCAAAGTTTCTCACAGTACACTAATTACACACCCTGAAGCATCCCTAAGTGCTCTGCACAATGAACACAGTGATAACAGTGCTCTTTCTGTGAGCCTCTGGATTCCACGTGTTAGTTTAGACTGAACATTTACCTGCCCAGAGCCTAACACATCAACTAAATCTAATGAAAAACTTAAATCTAACTGTACGAATAACAGTAAATTGAAAACCCTCTTTCTTTGCAGTCGGAGACATATCAGGAGGACATTTATCCCATGACTCCTGGGACAGAACCTGCTCTGTCTGCTGATGAGTGGCTCAGTGGAATCAACCGAGGTAAAGACCTGCAGTTATTTTCAGAATAAAAATATTTGAAAAGAAAGACAAAGGCTAAAATGAATCGAATTCATGTCTGTATGTACACGTCTAGGTCCGGTGCTCATGTCCTTAAAAGAGGGCTACAACAGACCAAACACGCTGGTGTTCAAGGCTCCTGTGAAGGAGAAGAAGGGTGGAGTGGTCAATGGGATTGACCTGCTAGAAAACGTGCCTCCCCGTACAGAGAATGAGGTGTTACCGTAATTCTGTTTAGACTTATTATGGTTGTTGAAAGGACAGTTTATTAGGTGTTTATATATGTGTGTGTAACCCTGTGCGTTTTGCTCTGCAGCTCTTGCGGATGTTCTTCAGGCAGCAGGAAGAGTTGCGGCGACTGAAGGACGAACTTACGCAGAAGGACATTAAGATTCGACAGCTTGAGCTGGAGCTCAATAACATAAGGAACAGCCCAAATATCAACAACAATAACAACAGTAGCAGCAGCAGCAATGGTAGCAGCATTTGACATTGGATCTGTGCTGTGTCTATTGATTTCCTAAAGTGACACACTATAAGCCCTGAGCGCTGCTGAAACACACAGGCTTCCTTTTGCCTAAAACTCCAATATTTCTCCTTTAAGACCACAGGAAAGCAAGCGCTTGTCTTCATAAAGCAGTGTTTCGCTCTGACCCCCAGTGTTGACCCCACAGCTGCTGTGTACTAAGTCGACTTTATTGGAGTGATGATTCACTAACCCTGTGAAAACGGTCCCATCACGTGACCTTCAGTCATACTGTCGGTCTACCTGCAGTGGATTGATTCTTTCTAGGGATTGTTTGTGGTACACGCTATTCATTGCATTATCATCTCATAATTGTAGACTAAATTTAATTAATAGAATTATTTATTTATTTTTTTTTTCTTTGTGCTACTTAGCCTCGTTCTGAACAGAATATTAAGCTCCATATAGAGAAGAAACGTGTTTTAATAATGTCAAACAGACGTGCTTCACCCATCAAGCTGTTATCTCATGTAAACACTAGGTCTATTGCATCATTTTGATATGACCCACAGTGCTTTTGATGTAGAAACTCAAACACCACAGTGCAGTAATCTTACACGGCAGATGATATTTATCCAGCTGACATGCTCCTCAGTCTAGAAGTGTTGGGTTTGTACTAATAGCTTCACATAATTTCGATCCTTCTCACACTGTGCAATGTGAAATATGTTCAAATCAGTTTATAGAGGCAATTCAAATGGGTTTTTACGTTAAACTTAAGTATACATTTAGAAAAAGTACACTTTGCACTAGATGAAAACATTCAAAAAGGCCACAAATTGTAAAATCCAATTATGAAATGAATTAGTAATAGATGTAGTTTTAGAGACCTACACTGTAGTTCCATAGGAAAGGAAAGTAAAGAGGACGTGAGAAAAAGAAAGTTCAACAAATTAAAGAATGAAAGACAGAAATTGTTGCATTTTTGATTCAGTAAGTTGAATGAATGGTATAGCTACTTCATTTTAAAGACTGACTGATTTATAAAGCATCATGAAGCATTGTTACTTTTTTTTAAACTAACATTTAAATCAAACCTATTTATTGATTTCCGTTTTCAGTTCATACCTTCAAGTGAAATGTTTCAAGTTTTCAGGTTTGTAGCTTGTAACCATGAATTTACTGTATCCTTTCCGTCCTGTAACATTCAAATTATTGACCATTTTAAACAAATTGCTTCTTAGATGGGATGTAAGCTCTTATAATGTGCATTGTATTTAGCTTTGAACTTTCAATGTAAACCCTTTCAAATGTTTTATTGCAAAGTGGACAAATTCCTTGTGGGCAAATATCTTATGCGCCACCGCCACGAAACACTCCAGGTGTAGTCACGCTCTTCAGTGCGCGCAAAACATTTATTTTGGAGGGACAAACTGGACGTTTTTAAAGTTGAATGGCACATTTACTCGACCACCTATGAGCTGATGTGTTCAGATGTTATTCATTTTAAAGTATATATTCAGGTCCCTAAATGAAGTAGTGGTTATAAATAACCTCGCTCGACCAGCACGAAAAGGAAAGTGTGAATTTAGCAAGTGAGTGTTTGACATTTTCCTGCTGTCGCTATTTAATGAAAACAATATGAGCCTCAAGCTTTGTAAATATTTTACTTCATAAAACAATAACACAAACTCCAGCAGCTCTTGCGTCGTTATTGCAAAGTAATAGCGCGTTTTGAGGAGAAAGTGCATTTTAGGTATTTTGACATTAGGGGGCGGTAAAGCCACAGTCTTGCTCATCTCAGCACATAGGCCTTCACTTGCCATGAAACAGACTACACAGCATCCTCTTAACATGTTAAAGAGCAGTTCAGACACAAGCAGTAGTGCTTAGAAAACAACGGGTAATAATAACACTGGGCCTAGCTAAATGGGCCAAACAGTGAGGAACAGGTTATGTAGCAAGTAGCTACATTCCAAATCTTGTGCCTTATAATTGTGCATCATTTTAGATGTTGAGGTGAAGTGGTTATTAATTTGTTCACAGCGTGAGGTGCCAGAATATTTATGTTGTACTCAGCCCCTTTCATTTGGTGTCAGACAAGGCGCTCACTGCCTACACAAGCACAATTAATGTAGAAATTAGTGCTGTCAAACGATTAATCGCATCCAAAATAAAAGTTTTTGTTTGCATAATATGTGTTCTGTGTATATTTATTATGTATATATAAATATACACACACATACAGTATATGTTTTGAAAATATTTACATATATAATTTATATTATAAATACAATATATACAAAATAACATATTTATCTGAAATATATACTGTATGTGTGTATTTATATATACACATAATAAATATACACAGTACACACACATATATTACGTAAACAAAAACTTATTTTGGATGCGATTAATCGTTTGACAGCACTAGCAGAAATATTTCGTGCTGACAAAATTCCTGAAGAATTATGAGGCAAGACATAGGCTAACCTGTCTTTGATTCAAATGAAGAACATTAATTGGTAATTACTACTCTGTATTTCATTATTCATTATGATTAACTAACTAAAGCATGTTGCACAAAAGGTAATTGCATGCAAGGTAAAAACCTCTTCCTGAGGAATAACTGTAATGTGCTGAGCTGAATTTACTTGAATGGTACATCAAATCTAACGGTCTAGAGTAGACTGACTAGCTTAATTTACCTTCGATCTCACATACACACGCAAAAAAGAATGGCAATCTGTTCCCACAGATCGTAAGAGACACCTCAGTTACTCTGTATGCAATGCTTTCATGCTCATGTTAACAAAGCACATGCTTATACAGTAAATATTCATTTGAACAAAAATGCTGACTTCTATTCATGTGAAATCTTAAGTCTTCTTTTAATAAAAAGTTCAATCAGTATGATCTGAAAACTGGATACAGCTCAGTTAAAATTGTGTATGCTTTCTATTTAAATTGGTATGATGCTTCTGAATATTTACACAATATTCAGTCAGGTATCATCAAAAATAGACAAGCTATTTTCCCTGAGCTTCACAATGCAATTTCACGTCATATATTCAGTTAACCCGCAATATCAGTGGCGAGATGATATACACTTGTCATTTCTGCACAAGACTTCAAATACATACTCTATTGATCAAGTATGTAATCACATCTAATTACAATAAGTGGATTTTCTGTGGCTGTCAGAACAGAGAACTTCAAATTAGAGAGCCTCTTGCGTTTTTATTCATTTTATTACAGTTAATGGTTACAACTGAGATTATTTGTGAAAATGTCTGCCATTATCAAAGGGGAATCAGAAAAAAATATATTTGGTCATTATTTACAAAGAACACGAAACCTCTGAACTATCCACACAAAAGGGAGAAAGGGTTTAGGGCTCATTTGACAAGGGCAGACATTCGGCTCTGAACATTAAAAAATAAAATAAAAATCACATTGAGAGGTTGAACTGACATCATGATGTATTCTTCAAGCCTAAACAGCACGTCACATGGTGGTAGTGGTGTGATGATGATGATGAAGAAAACACCAAAGAAACAAAATACACAAATAAAAGATGCAATAAAAAAAGTGGGTTAGAAAATGTTCTTCCTTGAAATCCAGTAGTCAACTTTAAAATAGAGTCAGCCATGCACTTCTAAAAGGTTTTTGGTTGTTTTTTTCTTTTTTAATACAGAAGTCATCACCAGCATTTAGGCATCAACAGTAAAGACAGGGAAAAATTACAAGAGCATACTGGTCTTTTTTTCCAACAATAATAAATTTCCACACTGTGTTGTCAGCCATTTGAAGAGCTTTTGGAGAAAATGAAGGGAATCAAACTGAAAGTACAAACCAAACCAAAAGAAAACAACAACAACAACATCAACAACAAAAAAGCTAAAAACAAATATTTAATGTGTCCTCGTTTATACTAACCCACCCCCTACCATTTGAATACCTCCCCAAACCATCGCAGAGTGACAATAGAACAGATATACAGGGGTTAAACGGTCAGATCACAATGGGGGGAGTGCATGTTCAGTCATCATCTTCCTCCCCTTCCTCATCCAGCTCTCTTTTCCTCTTCTGACCCCGCTCCTCCTCTGTAAACACAACACAGGAGGACCAGAAGTTTCGTTTACTCTTACTCTCACGCTGCTTACCAGCATTCAATTCACGGGTACAACGCTTCATCCATTCACTTACCAATGTCTTCCTCATCATCTACCTCGCCATCATTTAACTCTTCTTCCTCCTCTTCCTAAAAGCATGCGAAAAAGGCACATATTGACACCATATACACGTGTATTTGTAAACAAAAAAGGAACCATCATTATTTTCCGGCATTAACCTCTCCGCTGATGTCCTCTTCTTCCTCCTCTTCTCCCTCTTCCTCATCATCCTCCTCTTCATCTTCATCTCCTGGAGCTGCCTCTTCATCATACTCCTCCTCTTCTCCCTCTGCAGACAAAATTAGGTCAATGACAAATTAGTTCCTTGATCTCAATTAAAAAACTGAGAAACCTCGAAGCACTGTGTCAGTCAGACTCTTCACAAACATACCATCTTCATCATCCTCATCATCATCTAGGCCTTCGACGTAAGCTTCGGCGTCAGAGTCGGGTGCTTCTTTATCCTCTTTGTCATAGCCATCAAGATATGTCAACTGAGGGAGCAGCTTGAAAACATTTTCTCTGTAGTCATTCAGGTTTGTCACCTCACAGTTGAACAAGTCTAAACTTTTGAGGCTTTCCAATTTTTTCTGTTGGGAAAAAGACAGGAGAACAAATTAATAACAATAATAAATTGTTATTTTTATAATTTCAAGCCATCTAAAATCCAAGTCAGGCAACAACATCATTATTTAGATGTGTTATTCAAGAATATTAATAATAGTAGTGCTTGAAAGTCTCTCAACAGTGTTATCAGTGAGCGTATACATAAATTAAAATATATTCATCACTAAGTTCTAAGTTACTAAACTCCACTAGTTACGACTCCAATGATACTATAAACACATCTTACCAGGGGTTCGATGGTGCTGAGGTCTTTAATTTTGTTGCCGCTGAGGTTGAGATGGGTGAGGTTGGGACACTTCTCTGCCAGTACCTCCAGACCCCCTGAGATTCTGTTATCGCTAAGCTCGAGCTGTGCAAAACATGATTCAGTTCATTTGACAAGGGCAGACATTCGGCTCTGAACATTAAAAAATAAAATAAAAATCACATTGAGAGGTTGAACTGACATCATGATGTATTCTTCAAGCCTAAACAGCACGTCACATGGTGGTAGTGGTGTGATGATGATGATGAAGAAAACACCAAAGAAACAAAATACACAAATAAAAGATGCAATAAAAAAAGTGGGTTAGAAAATGTTCTTCCTTGAAATCCAGTAGTCAACTTTAAAATAGAGTCAGCCATGCACTTCTAAAAGGTTTTTGGTTGTTTTTTTCTTTTTTAATACAGAAGTCATCACCAGCATTTAGGCATCAACAGTAAAGACAGGGAAAAATTACAAGAGCATACTGGTCTTTTTTTCCAACAATAATAAATTTCCACACTGTGTTGTCAGCCATTTGAAGAGCTTTTGGAGAAAATGAAGGGAATCAAACTGAAAGTACAAACCAAACCAAAAGAAAACAACAACAACAACAACAAAAAAGATAAAAACAAATATTTAAACTGTGTCCTCCTTTATACTAACCCACCCCCTACCATTTGAATACCTCCCCAAACCATCGCAGAGTGACAATAGAACAGATATACAGGGGTTAAACGGTCAGATCACAATGGGGGGAGTGCATGTTCAGTCATCATCTTCCTCCCCTTCCTCATCCAGCTCTCTTTTCCTCTTCTGACCCCGCTCCTCCTCTGTAAACACAACACAGGAGGACCAGAAGTTTCGTTTACTCTTACTCTCACGCTGCTTACCAGCATTCAATTCACGGGTACAACGCTTCATCCATTCACTTACCAATGTCTTCCTCATCATCTACCTCGCCATCATTTAACTCTTCTTCCTCCTCTTCCTAAAAGCATGCGAAAAAGGCACATATTGACACCATATACACGTGTATTTGTAAACAAAAAAGGAACCATCATTATTTTCCGGCATTAACCTCTCCGCTGATGTCCTCTTCTTCCTCCTCTTCTCCCTCTTCCTCATCCTCCTCCTCTCCCTCTTCTTCATCTTCATCTCCTGGAGCTGCATCTTCATCATACTCCTCCTCTTCTCCCTCTGCAAACAAAATTAGGTCAATGACAAATCAATTCCTTAATCTCAGTTTAATAACTGATACATCTTGAAGCACGGTGTCAGTCAGACTCTTCAGAAACATACCATCTTCATCATCCTCGTCGTCGTCTAGGCCTTCGACGTAAGCTTCGGCGTCAGAGTCGGGTGCTTCTTTATCCTCTTTGTCATAGCCATCAAGATATGTCAACTGAGGGAGCAGCTTGAAAACATTTTCTCTGTAGTCATTCAGGTTTGTCACCTCACAATTGAACAAGTCTAAACTTTTGAGGCTTTCCAATTTTTTCTGTTGGGAAAAAGACAGGAGGACAAATTAATAATAATAATAAATTGGCGTTGTTTTTGTAATTTCAAGCCATTTAAAATCCAAGTCAACTTTTTTGTGCCAAGCAACAACAGAATTATTTAGATGTGTTATTCAAGAATGTTAAAATTAACAGTATATATATATATATATATATATATATATATAATAAAATATAATCAATTAATTAAAAATATTTCATCAGTAAGTTGATAAACTCCACTTGTTTAGAACTCCTATGATACTATAAACGCATCTCACCAGGGGTTCGATGGTGCTGAGGTCTTTAATTTTGTTGCCGCTGAGGTTGAGATGGGTGAGGTTGGGACACTTCTCTGCCAGTACCTCCAGACCCCCTGAGATTCTGTTATCGCTAAGCTCGAGCTGTGCAAAACATATTCAGTGTCATATTAATAAGACTGGCAAAGACTTAACACAATCAAAATATATATATTTTTGATACTTCTGAAGTAGTGTTCAAGAAAGCACCTATTACCTTTTTGAGTTTGTTTAGCTTCGGCAAATTAGCGACTGATGTTAAGCCTACATTGATTGTGCTTAAAAATTCCAGTTCCTCAAACTCATCAGTGAGGCCCTCAATTTTGCCCTCATTTGACCGACAGTTGTCCAACACAAGCTCTTTCACCTGTTAAAGGGCACATGAGACGAAATGTTATGATTAATGAATGCAGCATTTGTTAGAGTCTCCACCTGAGAGGCTTAAATTCAGTCACAGCAGAGCTGTTTCTAACTTTTGCAGCATGCTAAGAGCACTATATATAATAAAATATAATCAATTAATTAAAAATATTTCATCAGTAAGTTGATAAACTCCACTTGTTTAGAACTCCTATGATACTATAAACGCATCTCACCAGGGGTTCGATGGTGCTGAGGTCTTTAATTTTGTTGCCGCTGAGGTTGAGATGGGTGAGGTTGGGACACTTCTCTGCCAGTACCTCCAGACCCCCTGAGATTCTGTTATCGCTAAGCTCGAGCTGTGCAAAACATATTCAGTGTCATATTAATAAGACTGGCAAAGACTTAACACAATCAAAATATATATATTTTTGATACTTCTGAAGTAGTGTTCAAGAAAGCACCTATTACCTTTTTGAGTTTGTTTAGCTTCGGCAAATTAGCGACTGATGTTAAGCCTACATTGATTGTGCTTAAAAATTCCAGTTCCTCAAACTCATCAGTGAGGCCCTCAATTTTGCCCTCATTTGACCGACAGTTGTCCAACACAAGCTCTTTCACCTGTTAAAGGGCACATGAGACGAAATGTTATGATTAATGAATGCAGCATTTGTTAGAGTCTCCACCTGAGAGGCTTAAATTCAGTCACAGCAGAGCTGTTTCTAACTTTTGCAGCATGCTAAGAGCACCGTGTGGTGTTTACTTCTATCATGTTGACCCACCAAAACAGCAACAAAAAAAAAAATTCTCTCTATAGATCACACCGTTATCAGCAAATACTTGGAAAAAATAAAGACAGCTTCTATTCTTAACAAAATATGAATATATTAATCAGGTTAGAATGAGGGGGGAAAGATAGCAGATAAACCGAATCGGGCGCCAATCAGTTGTAAAGTTTACTTCAGCATGCGGTCTACAGTAGCAGATAGGGGTGCATGTTTCGGTGCTTTGACAAAATCTCACATTTGACTCCCTATCCAACAAAATGGCTGACTCCGCAACAAGCGGCGTACATTGTTTTCCTGAGGGTAGAGCATTTTTACTATAGTGTGTGCGTGCTCGAACAGCAAAGTAAAGACGCGTAAACGATAGCCTGGGTGTTACACAAATGCATTACATTGTCTTGGAAGAGCAAAGACACGAGGACGGACCCAAGAATTCACGAGTAGGAGGGGCAGTGAGGCGCATGATAATTCAACGGAGTCACTCTTTAAGCGAAAGGTACTGACTTTCACGGAATAAAAATGAATTTCCCGGCTTCGGACACGCTCGACTCTCTATATTCGACGGTTCTGGTCGGTTCAAAGCATAGAGACGGCGGCAACGATTCTCTGCTCGATTAAATATCGTGCGTCTTTGTTGCTGGTTAAAATGGCGCCTTGTCCTAGATCTTGCAACTAGAGCAGCGCAGCTTCAAGTTGCGTAGCGCTCACATAAGCGTCCAGTCTGTGTCAATAACATGCAGAGCCACACGGCTGAAAATCTCTTTATCCTGCCAGTGGAGACGCACAGAAGAGCTCAGAATACGGTTATGACATTTTAATTACGAGCTCTATTACAGCGTATTTAGGTATGCGTACAAGGGCAATAACAGGGACCTTGATAATGTTGCACTGAATTGATCCGAGTCGGTAGTTACACTTGTGGGAATTGATATATAGTAAGAAAAACACGGAAGGCATTTAAGAAAGAGATTTGGTCTTTGCATTCTGGCAATGTCGTCGACATATAATGCAGTTTTAAATAGGTTTGGGCACCTTTAAGCAACTAGATATGCTGTGACACGATTCCTTTCTATACCGCGAACGAACAACAAATGCGCTCGTTTTCCCCATCCAAATCAAATAGGCGACTATTAGTACCGTGCTAGAAGCCCTCGAAAAGATCCCGCCTAAGTAATTACACAACTTTTCTTTGATTGAGAAACGTAAATGCTTTCGATTTATACTCAAATCCCTCAATAAAAGCCTTTTGCTGGAGAGATGCCACGAAATGTATTTGACCGATCGGGTTATCGCAAGCTATCTGTCAAATCGCCTGCACAGCAATTCACAAAAATGCGTCCCACAACAAGTTAGCGAACTGGCCAACGACCACTGTTACAGGCGAGTATGAATGTTGAATTGAAAATGGATGTGCGAAAGTATGAGAGAGGCATGAACTGGCGGCAGGCGACTTTTGCAGCACTGAGGATGCAAAGGAAAAGGGCGCGTTCAGGGGCTACAAAGTTACAAATATGGCTTCTCACGCCGCTTCCCTTGTTTATACACTGAATGCATGGAGCTCTTGTAGTTTCCGAGCACAGCATCACCAAAAGGTCTCGCGAAAGTTGGGAAAAATAATCAGTAAAACTGCTGAACTTATGGGCTGTGTATAGGTACACTGCGATAACAATATCCAAGGCTCTAGGCTTGTAACAAAGTCGCCGCAAACTTTTCATTCAAGACATCAACTTGACGCGTGCACATCTAACGCTAGCGTTGTCCATCCACGCAGAACTACACTAACCAACAGTTTTATTAAAATCATATCACTCAGCAATTAATAAAGATGCTTACGTCTGACGGCGTCCGGTTCCGCAACTCCAGGTGAATTCTCTTTTTCATATCCATCTTACTGAACTGTAAGTGAGTGATTTAAACCAAAGAGCGCAGTTAGACTTGGAGTCTTTGCTGCACATTCAGCTATAGCCTCTTAACAAACTAGCTATTGCGAGTCTCACAAACTTGATGCCTCAGTGGGTGGGAGTTGGGTGTGGGATTGTCGTCACCGGCGACCAATTAGAAGCGCGGAATGGAATGTGAAAATACTCACAGCGAAACTGACGACCAATCAGCGGTCGATCAGAAACTGGGTGGGGTTACAGGAACCGTTCGGTTGATCCAGCGAATCCGTTTTAGGGTGACATCTATGCGATAAAATCAACCGAACTGTCGAAGACGCAGAGACTAAACAGGGGTATGGCTAGTTACTTTAGTGTTAAGTGGCTTTATCCACACTTAGACCTGGATATAGGAGTTACAGGAATTAAAAAAAAAAGACGTTTTGAAATAAACTGACGCGTGTTGGTTACAATACAATGTAACGCTCGTGGAAGTGAGGGCTGTGCACTTATTAAATATTTTGTCAAACTACTGCTTTCGGTCTCGAAGTCTATGGTCTCGAAGCAGTTTCCTGGCAGGTAAGTACAGTCACTTTGGACTGATGGATGGTAGACCGTCCGGAAAACACGACCCCTCCCCCTTTTGGAGGGAATGCACGGCGGCGACCACCGAGACTATCTGCGCTAAAATCTTTATTACTTTATTAGTTTACGCAGTGAACGCTGGGGATTTTTCACACTGCTTGTCACAATAAAGGGGATTTCACGCAGTGTGGGTTTTAAACGAGTTAGCCCTGTTTATATAAACGCTGATATGTAAATAGTAGCCTATAATGGTTTAAACAGATGAAGCATAATATTACAACGCGAACCAGGGAATGGTTGCATAACAAAACGCACTAGACAAAACATACGAAAGCACGCTATCTATAAGGCGAAATGTGGTGATACGACATACATCGACGTAGTTTAATTATTACAAACGAGCCCAGCTATGGCAGAGCCCATAATTTACCAAGTAGCCACTGGTCTTATTAAAAACAAGTTGGTCACATGCACTTGACTGCCACATCGCACACTCCAACCAGGGGCCCACGCTTTTCCCTACAGTTCAAACCAGCCAATCGTATTTCAGGGGGAGCATTCACTTCCGCTCCTCGCTCTGACTATTGTTGGTATTGAGGGGAAAAAAACAAGGTCACCTGACTGTGCCCGGCGCCATCTTGACTCGCGAAATACAACACATTCAAATAATTATAATACCATTTATTGACTCTTAAAACGAACAAAAAGCAATAGACTTTACCTATATTTGATGTCATGTCTGTGTGTCGCTCCGCTACCCCTTAGAAAAAACTGTAGAGCAACTGCTTGGCGCATGATTGTTTTCACAAGTGCACCGGCTGGGTTGTTTGTTGAGAGAGCGCATTTCACTGGCGACTGTGTCGTTTTACAACGTTATTTCGAAATCACTTCATACCAGGACATTTTGCCCTTGAAGAAAACAGGAAAAAAATCTTCTTCTCTCGATCTGGCCATTGACTCCAACCCGCGCAAGCGGGCTATTCTCAAGCCCTTTTGATTGTACTTGCGCATTAGTTGAGACCATTTTTCCTCTGGGTGTGTCTCACTCGTTGTCTGAACGCCCTTGCTAGCAGTACTGCATCAACTGTGTGTGTGGATTGCATTGCAGAGTGCGTGCACGATGTGCGCAGAGCCAAATCGTATTCGCACGCTTTGTGGCACACAGTCGCTCTTTTTCACACCACCGACGGCTAACTTTTGTGCGTGAAAGGCGAGGAACGTCATCAGGACAAAACGTAGAAAATGAGCGAACGTGCACCAACATGTTTGCTCATGCCAGTCAGAAATCACATTCAGGAAACTGTTTCTTGCGCGGAAGACGTTATCGTTTTCACAATGACAATGAATACCGCGTGCATCATGTGACTCATTACCGAGAAGGGTTAGATATTTGAATAAAATGCATTTGGAAAAACGCGGGGTTATTTTAAGAGGACAGATGGATTGATGAGCATTTGCACCATCTGCTATAATGCTAAAAGAGTGATAGATGCAAGGATCAGCTCGTGACATGTTTAATCATCAACCTTGACAATTCATGTCAGTGTCACTTTAAAACAATGCCTTTCTTGGTTTATTACCATATTCGTTAAACGAGATCAGTCATTTTGTGGGGCAGCGTCAGAGGCGTTCGCTGCGTTTGACCAATCTGGAGTAGCATGTGGCAAGTTGTATTTGTCACCACAGCACTGTACATGCAAAAATGAAATTAAAATGTGCAGACAACAGTGCAATCAATAGGACAGAACCTCTGTTTTTGAATCATAATGTCACAAATGTGTAGTTCTTGTCACTTACTCTGAGTAATGCATACTTCATGACATAAAAAGCAAGTTCAATCAAATTATTTACTCCTTGTCCAGAAATGAGTCATAGCTAGTCTTCTCTAACTGTATGCCACACTGAATACTGCCATTATTTCAACGAAAGAATCACCAGATCACTAGTCCGGCAGTTGTGTCTGTTAAAGTTAAACAAACCTCTCTAAAATACACCTTATTTTGATTCACACAATTGCAAATAATGCAATTTATTAACAAATGACTATCATGCATTTCTCACTAAACCGCACTACATTTGAATATGTACAGCGCTTGATTTGACTAATGTTTCAGGGCGTTTCTGAACTGACCTGGCACTGTAATAAAGAAACTACAGTTAAGATCTGACTAGTTTTCTAAATGACATCCTAACTGAAAATGTTTCTGTAATGCCCCTGACCAATTATTTTGACTGTGTTAGCACTGCTTTCACAATCGGTGAAAGACTTCCTGCATAATTTCATTAGTGATCTCAAACTTTTGAGGCTTTATAGCTACCTGCTAAATCCTGCTTATGCTGTATGTGCATTTTTGATGTTTTGCTCTTTGTTAAGAAAGCATTGGATAAGAACATACATGTAAATGGAAATATTTGGGGAGTATTCAGTGCAGAGCAAATGTATGATTCCAGGGACTGTTTAAGCATACGTTAGGAGAAGCTGCTTTTTGTTCCAACTGGAGTTGCTTTATGATTTGAAGCATCTCCTGGATGGAGGGTTTTGACAGTAATCTTGTCTCCACACTTTATCCCTTTTGTGTCATGCAGGGCATTGATAGAGGGCAGCTTACATCCAGTGCTGTGACAATGCATGCAGAATTGAAGTAGGACTGGTTGTGAAACATTTGCATGGAGAACATCCTGTTTTACACTCTGTGAAGGTGGTCTCATGATGGAGTTATGACACTGGCCTTTAGAAACTTGATTGTCTCAACCATATTTCCATGTATCAATTACAAGTTAATGAAATATAATGAGATATGTATTTGCATAAATAAATCTAACAGCTGTTCTTTAGATACAGATGTTACAACACAAGGCCGCCAATCTGACCTGTCTTATCTGACTTATTAGATATTTGAATTGTGCTGAGGGCTCACTTTCATAATTTAAGGTCCACTAAACACAGTTATTTAAAAATATATGGGTGAATGACAGTGACCTAAATGCTGACCCATGTGTTAGGTTGTATAACTTATCTTTGTCAACATGTGTAAAGGTTGCATTCTCCTAAAACACCACTAGATGACAGCCTTTCATAGGCTGAAAACTATGCCACATTAGATTATGATTTCTGGATGAATCATGAAAATACATTGATATTTTGTTTAATTCATGTTTCTATAACCTATTTTCGTTCAATTACACAAAATGTATATGAACTTGTTCAGCACTATTAGTAGGCCTATTATGAGAATTCACCTGAAAAGGATTATGTATTTGGGTCTGAGCAAATGGAGCACATTCTTTCAGTGACCAATTGATTATAACCATTCACTATTAATACGCTGTAATGTTGACATATTTTTTTCATAAAATTAAATTAATAATAAAAATACAAACAAACAAACAACTTTATTCTACCGTTTCTCAGTAAGCACACCGATGGCATAGCCTATTGCTGCCATCTTCTGGTTTGTTAGTTAAATACAACAGCCCGACACAATCACCTGAACAGTTTCACCTTCTTTTTTTACTGTCTGCCCTTAACTGTTTGAGTTTATGAAACCTAAATATCCACTAAATATGACCGTACTCGTATAGAGTCCTGTAAAGTGTAATTTTCATTTTCCCATTTTTATAGCACAGGCCCATATGTCGAACTTTTTTTATCACACAACTGTAAATGTACAGTCATTGACATGATGGCAAATTTGCTGTTACATACATACTGTCATACATACAGCTAAGTACGACCTCAACCTTATAAATAAACCTTTTTCTATTGACTACATGTGTAGGCCTACTTTATTGAGTCATAGTTGCAGTAAAATATTTTGACCACACGATGGCAGTCTAAGAAAACAAGTTAACAGTCTAGGAAAAGTATGAATATTGCTGGCGAGGCCTCTATTCGGGGCTCATGAATGTATGTCTCGCTAAATAGTCCCAGAGGAATCTACTGATAGAAAATGAGAACCATTACAATCGCTTTATCCTTTAGGGTACAAAACACTTGAACAAATGATTTATTTCTTATTAACTTAAATCAGAGGCTATGTTTAGCCTATGTATGTACACAAAAGCTGTCACTGAGGTGGTACCCTTTCAAAAGGTATAATAAAATGAACCATTTAGGTACTGATATGTGTTTTTTTAGCGAGCAATATGTACCTTTAAGATACAAATGTGAATGAAAATGGTGCAAAGGTGTACCTTTTGCAAAGGACCTGCCCTATTGACAGCTTTTGTACAATTTTTTTTCTGAGAGTGTATTAAATTAGATTAGAAGAATAGAAATACAATTTCATTGTACCAACAGAGGGGTGCATGGGCCTACTGCTAATCATCTTCTTAAAATCCACCTCTTTTTGGACTCTGAAATAAACCCCTGCATTCATTATTAATGTTAATTGACTCTAGGATCAGATCTAAGGCGGAGATTGTAATTTGATAGCCACTTAGAGGGTATGGATATCCTGCTCTACAAAAGCATTCAAGACCATGTGGCTGAATCAAATTATGCCATCTCATAGTAACATTACAAGTGGCTGAGATAGTTTCATGCCTTCGAAGGGCCATGATTTAGATTTTAGAAACTGTTATGGATGCACAACCTCTATGCAACCAAGGGTTGAAATCTACATTACTCAAAACTGTTAACTAGTGCTCTATATTCTACCTGCGAGGGGGGAAAAAATCTTCTTTTGTGCTCCATGAACCAAATATCACCATATGGCTTTATAATGGCATGAGGATGAGTAAATAATGACAGAATGTAACACCACATGCTCAGAGAACAAACATAACAGCGTTTGCACAAAGATGCAGTGCAATGATTCAGAAACTTTCCATGATTCACTCACATGGGCGACATGAACATACCCACATCTTTTTTTTGTCTTTTTTTTTTTGTCTTGAGCACAGATAATAAGACAAATTTGTCTATATGTTTTTAGTATCACGTTAATTTCTATAATGTATTATTGTGTGATTATGTTGTGCACAATTGAAAGAAAGAACAGATGGCCATCATAAAGTGCTAGAATGAGAGGAAATGCAAGATATGTAAAAAGAA